TCAAGCAAATCAGTGCAGTCATCACCCACCAAGTCACCCACCAAACAATTGTCGGATGGATTGATGTACAGATTCTCTGAAGACTTCCATGGAGGATATGACAACCAAGGGAGCATCAATCCCATCCAGCTTCCAAAAGGTTCAAGGAAAAAGACAAGAAAAACCTTGGCAAGTCAACATGTACAGATTTTTATTGATATCAGGCTCATCCAAGTTCGAAACTATAGACTCCAAATGAATATCTTCGGCAGTGAACTTTTAGGACACAGGATTATCTGAACATCCTGCTAGAACGTGAGGCACCACCTCCAAACCGGGTTTGCTGCTTGTGTGATGGAGATGGAACACAGAAGTGCCAGGACTGTCTAGCCCAGCCCATATTTTGCACGAGGTGCTGCCAGACTCAGCATTCCTTGCTGCCTTTCCACTGGACAAGTCAATGGAATGGCGATTTCTTTGAGGAGACAACTCTCACCAAGTTAGGGGTGGAGATTCACCTTGGCCACAGAGGACAACCTTGCCCCCACCACTGTTGGGAATGGGAAGACACTGATGACAGGGAGGGATCTACCGCACCCTCAGTCTTTGGAACCCCAGGCATTGGGGCTCCGGACAGGGGCAATGATTTATCTGATGTATTTATCAAGTCTGGATCTCGGACTGTCTGGCCGGAACCCCTGGAAGCAAACATACCCACACCAGGCAGATGTCAGATGACAGTTGTCGACACCTCGGGAATCCATGTCATGTCAATTCGTTTTTGCCAATGCTCTGATGCACTCACAGCGGACAAGCAGTTGTTTGAGATGGGCCTATTTCTGGCATCATTCACCCGCCCAAAGACGGCCTTCACTTTTGCATTGCTGGACGATTTTATTCAGGACAACCTGGAATGCGGCACTTCCAGTATGAACTATTACAGCAAACTCAGGTGAATCACATCCAGCATGTTCCCTCATTTAGTGCTGGTAAAGTCTGTTTCATGCTGCCATTTATCAACTAACAAAAATGTCAGTAGGACCAATATAGGGAGTTACTCAGAGTAGCCAGGCAGTGGCACCAGCTGAAGCTATTGAAGTGGAATGGATTTGGCCATGAGCAGAGGGACCCGAATGATGGTGAGCTGGCATTGTTCTGCCCAGCATGTCCACAGCCAGGGATAAACATGACTTTGCCTAATGAAGAAGACACTACAACGCAGTGGCTATACTCCCTGATGGAAAAGGCTACATGGTGGCAAGAGCCAGATACTAGGCCCATCTGGCAATCGCTGAAGATTCAACCCAGTGGTCAGAATAACCAAATTGCTCAAAAAGTGAGCAGGTGTTGTGCTGTAGTGTGAATCTGTCTTGCCAGATATCATGTTTTAAGATGGACCAGCAGATTCACACCAAGTCTTGTGTCAGGGAGCATGCAGAGCCCAAAAATAAAGACACACCAGGAGGCATGAAGTCCAGAGGTGTAGACACATCATATGTTGCAGGTTGAGCTATGTAATATCATATCTTGCTTGATGGCAGAGGCCAAGGTGACAAAGGTCAGAATAGTTTCAAGTGAGAGTCCATGAATATTTGAAAGTGCTTGGCCTATATATGCAAGCTCAACCATTGTAACAACTGAAGAATTGATTGATACAGTGTAGTATACCAACAAATGTAATGCTATGTTTGGTGCTACATAAGTTATTTGCTGCTGGCCAGAACAGACAGACAGACAGACAGACAGACAGACTGGACTTTTGAGAAACCAGGTGCCCTCAAATATTTACACTCTGAAACTTCCCAACATGATTATATGGACATTGGGAATTTCTGGCCAAAGAATATTTGTACTCTGGGACTTCCCAACATGATTATATGCCCTCTAGGAATTCCTGAGAAAAGAATATTTACACTCTGGGACTTCCCAACATAATTATATGGATACTGGGAAGTTCTGCATGCAGAATATATGACCCCTGGGAATTTCCAACCAAAGAATATTTGTATTCAGGGACTTCCCAACATGATTATATACCATCTTGGGATTCCTGACTGCACAATATATGATCTATGGGACATTCCAACATGACTATCTGCACCCTGGGAATTCCCAATATAATTATATGACCTCTGGGAGGTCCTAACTCAAGAATATATGTACTCTGGGAATGTCCAACATTGTTATTGATACCCAGGGAATTTTGAAACTATAGAATATCTACTCTCCTGGAACACCCTGCTGTAGCATCTAAGTACTGTATGAAACCTAATTATGATTATTCATCACCTAGGAATTTCCAGCCAAAGAATATATTCATCTCAGGCATTCCTTATGTGATTATATCTGGGGTGAAAGGGCAATACAGTAATCCAATAGCACTGCTGAAATCTTATGTAGTAATTCATGTAATAATACTGATAGTAGTCCCCATGCTTCTCCTGATGATTTCTACATTGTCCCTGATGAGGGCCCTATTATACCCCCTAATGGTCTGTAATATGACCCCCATCAGTCCCTATCATACCCCCCTAAGTTACATCAGAATTGGCCTGAAGGACCCCTGACACCACCCACATGATGGGAAAATCCCATATAAAATGTCATAAAAATATGTCCCAGACAGGCTAGGAAAATAATTGATGTTGTCCCACAATACTTCCATTATAGTTGCCCCAGTGGGAAATACAACTGGAATCATACCTCTTGGGCCAATACTTGTATAGAGGACTATCAACCTAAGAGGTATCTTTTTGGGGGTGACTGAAGTGAACTAGCTTCGAAGTTCTGTCTCTTAGTACTAGTGCTATCCTCATAGATTTGTTTGTTTGTTGTAGATTCACACACAGCTGGCAGGACTTGACAAGATAATTTGATTTATTTGGCAAATTGTTCGTGTTGAAAGGAACTTGAAACATAGATTGCATTGGCCAGCAATGAGAAAAAATGCAAAGCAGCACACAAAGACTTGTCCCCCCAAAAAGCAGAAGGGTTCAAAGAATCTGGCCAAACCTGCACATCATGTGACAGTAAAACGGCATAAAACACTCAACATAAGTGAACTCATGATTTCCTGATGCTGTGCTAGAGTTAATACAGGGACTCTTGGGACCATCTAGTATTGAACTAGACTCATAACCATTCTGCCCACGTGCGTTTTTGAGATGGGAATTTTGCCGTAGGCAGACTGGTCGATCTCGGAGAGATTTGGCAGGTGAAGCACGGAGTTTGAAAAATGGCGGTTGCCGATTGTGCTGCTTGATGTTATCGTTGTTATCATCCAGCATTGACGACGCTGTATCGTTTGTTCGTACTTTAATGATACCATTTCCTGTGCTTGTCCCTCATATGTTGCACTATCATCAACCATCCGAACTTCTGGCATGGACAGTTGACCACCATGGCCTCAGTGAAGACATCAAAGTTCTAGCTATCCTCAAAATACTTCGTGGCTTGTGGATGACCGTGATAGACTTACTTCTGTGCTCTGTCTTGCAAAAACCTGCCATGATCAATTGGAGGAAGGGCTTCTTCCGAAGCTCTGCACTCGCACGATTTCTTAATGTGCTGGAGTCCGACAAGCAAGGAGCTATTCACCTTCAGAATGTACTGCGACCTCACGCCATAGAACTTGTCACCTGTGAGATTGATGTGGAGATGGAGGACGCTAAGCTGATTTTTCATATGTCTATGAAGGACATCACCCCGGAGTACTTGCTCTCCTTCGACATCAAGCATGGATTGACTGCGCCATTGAAAGAGACAACTCCCTGGCTCTGTCAGATCCTTATGTCCGCTATGCAGACAACACGTGCTGTGAAAGAGAATAAGCATCAAAATGTTGAAATGGTTAGCTTTTTTTTGAACCACACAAAACTAATGTAGACATTGAGCTAGTACTGCACTGTAATCCAATCGCAAATTGCGAACATTCGCTCGCAAAACAACCTCGCCTTTCAGATCATTCACGGACTTTGCTTGTTCAGCAGTGGTACATCTCGCAAAACCATTGACTTACTCACGCATTGTGGTCTTTCGCCTGGGTATGATGCATTGCACACTTCTCATACTATCATGGCCGATGGCCAGATACGAAGGGCGCAGCTTGTTGCTAGAGGACCGCATATGATAGGCTGGGACAACATTCAAGTTTCAACATCTACTCATGTTGAACAGCGCGCTTTAGCCCCCCTGAAAGTCCAGTCAGACTTCATCACAGAAGCACGAATCATTGAGTGTGAGATTCATGTACATTCCATAGTGTCTTGTCATGCGGGGTGTCATGGTTAATTGCGATGGATGGAATGCCATACTGGACAAACTCGTTGACCTACAGACAGATCCAGAAAGGTTAAACTCATGATTTGAATTTTCCAAGTCAAGCGTACGTGATCTTTTTGCAAAAGCTTCAATGGTGTGACGGTAATTGCAATCTTGTCAGGAGAGAGCAGCAAGGGAAGGATCATTGCCAGTGTCTTGCCAGCACCTGTTGCAGCCCGGACAACAACATGTCTTGATGCGAGCAATGATATGAGGCACTCGAGTTGAAATGGCTTTGGTTGCTTCGTTCCTTCTGTAAGAAAATCAAGTCAAGCAAAGGAGTCTACAATGTTCTGGCGCTGGGATAGATGCAAAGGTTTGATAAAATCTGTTGGAAGGTTCTCAAGGGCATCTAGCACAGCAAGGGACATTGGTGAAACAGAAACGGCCTCGCGATCCATGGTTGCAAGGCCGCGATCATGATAGCATATGCTCAAATGCACAAAGACTACGGTGTAGAGAATTACGATCAAGTACTGCCGGCATGACCGGCACCTACTAAATTTCAAACTCCTCGCTTCTCATGCCAAATCTCTCCAAGATTGACCAGCCTGGCTACACCACTCGAGCATCTGTGGTACTATATGCCAGGTTGGTCACAAGCCTAGTATTGAACACCAAAATCATGATAGGACCATCCTAACTGTGCCCAATGTGGGGATTACATCACATTCCTCATAACCTATTAAACACTAAAATCATGGCAGAACCAGGATTTGAACCTAGGCCTTCCCAACACTGGCAGACATTTTGACCACTAGACTATTTAGCCATTGTTATATTCCTCAGTATGTCCAATCTGTGGATTACATCATATTCCAGCATGAACAGACTCAAAAATTTTAAGGGCGACATACAGGTGCCAGGACACATTGTTGTATTGATTTTCTGCCATAGATTTGGTACACTGCTGTAAAATAAGAAAATTATGTCTAACTGTAGTCATATTATATGCTATAAGGGAGCTCCAGTTAACAGAACAGAGAGATGCCTGCTTGGAGCATTAGAAATAGTAGAGTTGTAAATGGAAGCATTGTGATACGACTCAGGTGTTTTGCAACTCAGGCCCACCCTGTTTGTCTCCTCCACATTTACACCTACAGCTCTGATTACAGCTTTCATTAATTATGGCAACATGGATGTGTCCATATTGCAAGGAGAAGGTTCACCACCAGGAGACAATCCCTACAAGGATTAAGGGACTTGGGACGAAACATACTAGAAGTTGTTTAAAAGCTCCAAAAACAATCAAAGGTTGGAGGATCCCAGTCTGGCAAGGAGAGCACTGCTGCCCCTTTCGATACCGAAGATGCTTGTTTTCTCATCCAGGGAGTACTGAGCGTGTTCGCAAGCACATAAATTCAGCTGAATGCCGTGGACCAGGCAAAGGTGATACAGACGAAAAAATCTATGAAAATATGTCCCCCAACTCTAGTACCCCAGCTGACTGGGGACGGTATGTGGAAGAGACCTTTAAAACTAGCAACTCAGAATCCCAGGTACTGTTTATAAAATTTCTCTGTAATGTTCTCTGCATCTTAAAAATCTTTTTCAAGATGAGCTATTCTACCTCTGGTGTCGGCAACACCCCAACAGAGCCTCTACGGAAGAAAAGAAAGTGCATAGCTGGGGATGAGGCTACTGAGTCCATTCCTGAGGCTGAAACCTCTTGGAAACATTATGGATCTGATGGCAAGCTAAATGGACAGTGCGTTAACAGAGATTCATTCATTTTCTATTTTGCTAATGGGCAAATAAGCTCAAAGACAGTGATCGCTACCAAAAGACATCAATCAGTAGTGTCTCCTAGTACCAAAGAGCGGTTGGAGTTATTTGATTCCATGATAGACCACCCTTCAGATGGCTACGACTCAGACAAGCCTGATACCATGATGGACCATGATTCAGTTGCTAGTCCTGCAGATTCTTTCAAACCTTCTGATCCACCTTCTGATGATTCCACCTCTCTGCCCTCTTTGCAATACAATGCAAGAAGACCAGTGTTATCTGACGACAGTGACTCTGACGAGCACACCACTCAAGTAGGCAAAAATGGTGACTTTGGTGCTGAAGAAGACCTCCCACATTATGCGCCTACTACACCGCCTTCAAAGTTTCTGACACCTGGACCTCTACCTATATCTCCTGTAATGGCATTGTCCTCCCCAATTGTCCCAGCAGGAACAACAACTTCCAGTCTCAATGGGGACCAAGATCAGGAGCTTTTTGAAGCTGAGCGTCGTACATGGGCAGAAGAATTTGCAAAGTTAACTGTAGAGCGGGTTCGCTTGGAAACCAAGGCACGTGCAGCAGAGAGACATATGACTGAAGCACTAGAAAGGGAGAGAGAAAAATGGTCTCAGGAAAGGACCAAATGGGAAGCAGATCGCATTCAATGGGAATGTGAACGAAAGAAGTGGTCTGTGGAACGCACCATGATGATAGAGAGGCGTGATGCACTCCTTACTCTGATGAAGACTTCACTTGAGGTAATTGAATTATTTTTACGTTTAGTCAATTTCCTGATTCTTAAACGTCACCAGGGTCAAATGAAGGCTATTGATGAATATGTACTATGCGGCGCTGCTCCGGGACACCCTGGGCTTAGTGAGAACAATTAGTTTCCAGCATACATAGTAGTAGGCGGGTATTTGTTGTCAATCATCCGTATCAATATTTCTTTCCTTTCAGCAACGGAGTTGCAGCATCATCAGCCTGCTCTGATCGTCTCCGGAAGGCTATTCTAAATAGCCTTGCAGTTGGTGTTGCTGTGTTTCGAGCAGATGGTAGGGTTGCTCCTTAAAGCTGATTGTCGGACCGATGAGCATAGTCTAAAACGCGTCCTGATTGTCATCGAGGCGTCAGATGAGAGTAAAGCTAATTACCAAAAACAGAATCTTCGTTTGCTCGCTAGCAAACATAACACTTCCGCTTCCTCATCCTCCTCACCTCCCGTACACTCGAAGACATTCACAACGCTCTGCGCGCCGCGCCGCATGTCCGCCATGTTTCCCTGGATGACGTCTTGTCTGGTCGACATATTTCCCACAAGCTGAAAGACCTGGATCGTGTCTCAAAAGATGCGCACTTCAGGGCGCTCGCTCTAAAATCTGACGGCCTCTTACCCCACACCAAGATGGCATTGAGTATCTTCACATGCGCGTCTAAGGCTGACTTCTTTCTCAACCATCTCCGTCGCAGGTCGATCAAGTTACGGTAACAGATGATTCTCCATCAGGCAGACCGTGATGTCGCTGTTTCCCGTCCGCTTTCAAAGGTCTCTGAAGTCTACACCTTCATCACAGAAGAGGAGTTGCCGCAAATCAAATCCATGCTAGCGATATACGGGAGGATAGCGCAGCAGACACTGGATTTTGCTGATTTTATCAGCCATTACTTTGAGAAAAGAGCGCCTGTGAGTCGATCCTACCCCTCCCTCTCCTTCATCTCAGCGTGGCCTGCTTATAGGGACGAGACTCGGCAAGCATAGTTTCAACGAAACGGACGAAACAAATCAGAGCTACAGCAATTCTGAGACCGAGTGCCGCTCGTCTTACCTGCGAGTATATCGAGAATGGAATGTCAAA